GTATAGTTGTGAAAAGGGAAAATCTATGAATGTTACTTAAATTTTCTAGGATGTCTGACAAGTTTACATACCAAATGCTCTTAAACAGTTTTCAATAATTGCTCTACCTCCCTGTTCCTCCTCCTCAACAAACAGCAATGAATAGAAATGAAATGGAATTTCAGATGATAGTCAAAGGAGATTTTAAGTTGTATGTAATTTTTGTTTTCCAGTGGTAGGATATGGCGTCAACATATAATTATAAATTGGTTTTTTGAAATGATTGTAGATTGGTGTTCCTCATGTACTAGTGTGACAGGTCTTCAGTATAGCTTCAGGAATCATTGCAGAAGCTTTTAGTGAGTCTCTTCACATAGGCTCTTCTCTTTCCTCCAGGCTCTGTGATCCTCTGCCTTATGATATAATAGTCGATCCAATGTGTGGAACAGGGGCAATACCAATAGAGGTAATAAAATTCCTTTATTTTTAGATATGCAAGTGATATATATACAGAATGTTATAAACCTAATGGGCAAATTAGACATAATGAAATCACTGAGCTTGGGTCATTGGACCCAAGAGTCTTAAAACATTTATAATAGTAGGGTGGCGCCTGTTGCTCAGTGGGTAGGGCACCGGCCACATACACCAAGGCTGGTGGGTTCAGATCTGGCCCCGGCCAGCTAAAACAACAATGACAACTGCAACCAAAAAAAAAAATAGCTGGGCATTGTGGCCGGAGCCTATAGTCCCAGCCACTTGGGAGGCTGAGATAAGGGAATTGCTTAAGCCCAGGAGTCTGAGGTTGCTATGAGCTATTGACGCCAGGGCATTCTACCCCAGGCAACAGCTTGAGACTTCGTCTCAAAAAAAAAAAAAAATTTGTAATAGTAAAGTTGGAAATTTTGTCTAGTTAGTCAGTCATATCCATTCACAGGATTACAGCCAGAGCTAAGAGTTGCAAACTGCTCCTGAGTCCCCTTTCTGTAAGAGACAAGCTGGTAGACATGAACAGGAAAGGATAGTTGAAGGCATAAGCATAAACTGTAGGAAGGCAGTTTCCATT